GGGAGGGTTGGGACTTCATCATGCTGGAAGAGGGGGAGGCAAGGGGGCATTTTGATTGACAGATAGTACGAAGATTTATTTTTTTTTTATTAACTGAAGATATTTGTTTTAGCTCATAAAATTCATACAAATTACCTGGTCAGAATAGGCAATTTACATTGCTGGAATTCTTATACTTCAGGATCATTTTGAATATAAACATCATATTTTGTATTAAACATACAAATTTTAGATGTGTAATTTTTTCTAGGTAACTATGTTGGTTTTGTGCAAAATATATGACATTTATATTCAAAATATTCCTGGTCTTACATGAATCCAGCAATGTCACCGTATTATCCTAACTTTAGTTTGAGGTATTATTTATTAAAATTTAGTGGTTTTCCAAAAATTTCTCTTGAGAGGGAAGAGCGGCAGTGTAGTGTGAGAGGGAGGGAGTTGAGTCCATTATTTGAATGGACATTAACTTGGCTAATGTATTTTCTATTTCTCTTAAGTATAAATTGTGTGCATGTACCATCATAAAATTAAGATGTTATTTTTACTACAACATAGTTATGTGCCTTCAAAAAGTGGAGTTTGGGGGTTGGCCGGTTTCTATTGAATTAATCCCATATGTTTGTTGTTCACTTAATGATTTCTACTAACGCGACCCTCTAGTTCAATGGACGCTAAGGGTACAACTGTGTGTGTGTGTATATATATATATATATATATATATATATATATATATGTATATATATATATATATATATTATATGCAGTATTACTCCCCGCCAATCGCTGTGTTGTTTTAACGCTGGTCATATACGCGTGCTCCTCGCCAGAGCTGAACTTTCACTTAACACGGATTTTTTTCCACATATACGTGAGTGTCCGCTCGAGACGCTTGAGCTTTTAGATTTGCCCCACCACCACCCTGCCTGTTTTAGCCTCATAAAATTCATACAAATTACCTCGGCCAGAATATACTTACATTAAGGAATTTCATAATTTGGTGATCATTTTGAATATGTTCATCTATATTTTGCTTTTAAACTTACAATTTTAGAGATAAATTTTTCAGGTAACTATGGTATTCAGCAAAAATATTATAAGTGACATTTATTCTAAATACCCTGGTCTTACAAGGAATCCAGCAATGTCAATTATATTATCCTAACTTTATTGAGGTATTATTTATTAAAAATTTAGTGGTTATCCCACACATCTCCTTGGGACGGCTGGGTGGGGGGTGGGGGAGGAGGACCGACCGACCATCTGCTCCCGTGAAGAATTATTTTTTTTTATTAACTGAAGATATTGTTTTAGCTCATAAAATTCATAAATTACCAAGGTCAGAATAGGAGCCCTATATTGCCGAATTCTTATACTTGGTGATTATTTTGGAATATAAAACATCATAGATTTTGGCTTTTAAATTCCACAATTTTAGATAAAAATTTTCAGTAACTATGGTATCTTTTTGTGCAAAAATATATGACATTTATATTCAAAAGGCTCCTTGGTCTTTACAAGAATCCAGCAATGTCACACTCTGTATTATCCTAACTTTAGTTTGAGGTATTATTTATTAAAATTTAGTCGTTATCCTGGCCACATCTCCTTGGGACTTGTTGGTGGGGGTGGGGGGAGGGACCGACCGACCATTGTTACCCTGTGAAGAATTATTTTTTTTTTGTTAACCGAAGATATTTGTTTTAGCTCATAAAATTCATACAAAATTACCCGGTCGTAATATAATTTACATTGCTGAATTCTTATAATTTGGTGATCATTTTTGAATATAAACATCATAGATTTTGCTTTAAACTTACAATTTTAGGATAAAAATTTTTTCTAGGTAACTATGGTATTCTTTTGTGCAAAAATATATGACATTTATATTCAAATATTCCTGGTTCATGAATCCAGCAATGTCAATTATATTATCCTAACTTTAATCTGGAGGTATTATTTAATACTAAATGTTAAAACTCTGGAAGGAGGATTGGTGGGGGGGAGGGTTGGACTGACTGCGGGTTGGAAGAGGGGGGGAGGCAAGGTGGGGTACTTTTGATTGACAGATAGTGTCGTGAAGATTATTATTTTTTATTAACTGAAGATATTTGTTTTAGCTCATAAAATTCATACACCAATTCGGCCAGAATATAATTTATATGGGAATTTTATAATTTGGTGATCATTTTGAATATAAAACATCACATATTTTGCTTTTAAACTTACAATTTTTAGATAAAATTTTTTTCTCTAGGTAACTATAAAGTTATTTTGTGCAAAAATATATGACATTTATATTCAAAATATTCCTGGTCTTTGCTGCTGAATCCACAGCAATGTCAATTATATTTCCTAACTTTAGTTTGAGGTTATCCCAATAATAATCTCCTTGGGATGCTGGTGGGGGTGGGGGACCGACCCACCATCTGTTAGCCGGCTGTGTAGTGAGAGGTTGGAGTCCCATTATTTGAAATGACATTAACTTCATGACTGTATTTCT